GAAGACCAGGTTCCAGCATTCTCTTTTTCTTCGCATATGCTTTTCCCGTAACTTTTTTTTTTGTCTGCTGAAAAGGCTATTTTCTTGGAAATCTCTTATGGTGGCAGGTTAAAGAATGCACATCAACCCTGTTGCGTTTTGCTAAGAAATCTAATATCCCTGTTTTCTTGGTGAGTAAGCACCATCCTTCCAGTTCTTTCCTTCAATATCTGGTGTGTGATTGGGATCAGATCTTTTATGCACGTCACTTTCTGTTTTAGGTTGGACATGTTACGAAAGCGGGTGATATTGCAGGACCTCGTGTTTTGGAGCACATAGTAGATGTTGTCTTGTACTTGGAGGTGCTTTGTATTTTCTGTTGTCTTTAGATATGCAATCATGATATCTCCTTCAATAAATGGCGCTATGTAGTTCTAACTAAATACTTTGGATTTGTTTTTATTAGCTTTATAACCTCTTTTCTAGACTAAAAGTATATGAGCTTAATTTGTTAGGAGATATAACAGAAGATGATTAGTTGACATGTATTTTCCGTCATTTCAGGGTGAAGAATCATCAGCGTACCGATTGCTTCGATCTGTGAAGAATCGATTTGGGTCGACTGATGAAGTATGTATACAAATCCTTGATAATATGCCTTTTCAGATTAAATCATGATTATTATTTTCCCTTGCTGCCTCGTTTCCCTTTTTCTCAAGAACTTGCTAGTTCAAGCAGCTTATTCTGTGGATTGTGTTACCTTTATTCCTTATTTGGTTCGAGTTTGCTTGTTATCTGTACACTTATTATTATTTCGAGTTGAGAATTATCGAATAAATCGTGGCTATCTCCTTTGTCAGCTTGGAGTTTTTGAAATGGCAAACTCAGGACTTGAAGTAGTCTCAAACCCTAGTGGCATATATCTTAGTCAACAGAACCCAGATTCAGATGTTTTAGCTGGATTAGCTGTCGCAGTTGTTATGGATGGATCTCGGAGTTTCCTAATTGAAGTTCAGGTAGATAACCAGATAATTCTGCTTCATTCTCTTATTCTGCTTCAGAATTCCAACAAATTGTAAAAGGGCCCTGGCTCGATAAGTGAAACTGTGTTTTGATAGTCTTTATACATTTTGCTATTGTCATTCAATATGATGAGAATCATGACTTACATTGTTGTAATATGTATGTTCTGAATAGGGGACAATGCTGACCTCTCATCATTAGCTGCCTCATTTGTGCTTGTGGACCTTGAAGCAAAGTATTGTAGTTCTTGTTTAAACATTGGTTTTTGTTATAATGTAGGCGTTGTGTTCGCCTGGCCCAACAGTTTCAAGGCATGTCAATGGTGTTCAAGCAAGCAGAGCTGATATGATAATTGCAGTGAGTGCTACTACTAGCTATGTCTGTTCTTATTGTACAGTAACAAATTCCGTTTGATACATGCCTCTCTTCTACTTTTTCTTTTTGATAACTGCTATCGTTTTGTTTTGGTTCTGCCTTATCAAATCACAGGTTCTTATGAAGCAAGCTGGTCTTAGAATACAGGAAAATGTAAGTTTAGAGATTTGATAATTTTGTGTCACTCTGCAATGTTGCTCAACATGTGATTCTTGAACCTCTAATAACATAGTTGCGCTATATAATAAATGATAGGAAGCAAATTATACACCAATCTTCATTATCTATGTGAATGCTCACTTAGTGTCGTAGTGATCACAGTCCTGCTAATAATAATAATATTTTTCTTCAGGGGATTTTTCTGAACGTCGCTAACGGAATGGCTCTTTCTGAGACTGCTGGCGACCTTGCAATAGCAGCAGCAATTTGTAGCAGGTGAGTATTTTATTAACTTCTTTGTGCTCTTAAATACTTTCTTGTAAAATCTGCAAGATTTGCGTTATTTAGTTCCTAGCTGCCAATGAATCACTATTCTTTTATTCCAGTTTCTTGGAGTTTCCAATTCCTCACGGTGTAGCATTCATTGGTGAGATTGGTCTTGGGGGCGAGGTTCGCACGGTAAGCAATAAAAGAATCAGCTAATTGTTATTTAGAATTTGGATGAATATGATTGAAGGTTTAATGGTACAGGTACCAAGAATGGAGAAAAGGGTAAGTACATTGGCAAAGCTAGGGTTTAACAAATGTGTGGTTCCCAAATCAGTGGAGGACTCACTAAAGGCGCTGAATTTGAAAGAGATTGAGATAATCGGATGCAAGAATCTGAAAGAGTTAATTAATGCTGTGTTTAGGGGATAATGAGATTAAGCACTTTGTGTTTAGAGGAGACTAAAGATTAAGCATTTGGTCAACATTATTTTTGTCTCTGTATCTTCTTTTTGCATAGGACATTCAATTTACGGTTTAGTTCGGTTTGATTTTTTTCTTTCTGGTCTTAGTTTTATCAGTTTTATGGAGACTAAAACCAGCTCAGACCATATGTAACTCGGTTTGTTTGATTTAACTTCGGTCAAATATATTTAATCTATATATATATTTTTGGAGACATTTATGAAATAAATCCTGCAGTTTCGACTTATTTATGATCAAATGTCATTAACATTAATTATTTAAATTTTCAAAATTAAATCAAAGATATTAACTTAAAAATCATTTCCAAAAATCTTAATCTAATATATTAAGCATAACCAGTGTTCAAGAAAGCGTTAGGCGCTAAGCGGGCGGTGACCCAGTGCCTAGCGCCTAGAACGCCTAATCGGGGCTTAGACGATTTTTAGGCGGTTTAGACGTTTATAACATAAATATTATAAATATAATATTATATATAAAAGTTATATAAATCATAAAATTATGAAATTATAAACAAAAACTAGATAAAACATTTATTTATATTTATATTAAACAATATATGAATATTTATAACTATATATATATAAATAAAACTCTAATTAAAATTGAAAAAATACATTAAATAAGATTTATGTAATTTTAGGCGGTCAAGGCGGTTATCTAGGCGTCGCATGAGAGCCTAGCGCCTAGTCGGGGCCTAAGCGACCGCCTAGACCGCTTTTTAGAACACTGAGCATAACTAATCTTTGCCACAATTACATCTATATTCAATTCGATTTCCTTAAAAGATCTCAACAATCCCTACATTTAATCGTGGTCATTCAAATCTTAATCCGGTTTTTAATCTTCAATCTTGACCGTCGGTCATACGCAATTAATTCATAAATCATTATATAGAATTAATTATTATTAACTAAAATTTAAAAATATATTTAAAATCAAACTTTTAAATTGACTCGAATTATATGTCTATTAAATAAAATATTATTAAAAATAACAAAATGATGTTTAATTTCACGGGACGGGGTTATATAGTGGGACGGGTTTGGATCGATATTAATATGGGACGGTATTAATATCACGGATGAAATCTTAAAATTAACAATCAAAATACAATTATACAATCTTAAACACTTAACAAAATAAACAATATTAAAAAATACAATTTAAAATTTAATTTTTTAGTTAAAAAATCGACCAGCGGTATAGTTAGTTACATGTGTTACAAAATATATAACTAATTTTTTTTTTAAAAAAAAACTAAACTTTGTTCTGTTACACTAAATTCAGTTTTAGTATGTTTTTATTTAATAAAACCAATTGATTTACAATTTCGGTTTAATTCAATTTATATATCTTGGTTTGTATTTTTTGGCCACCATACAATGTGGAGGAGCATTTAATATGATCGACAAGTTTATGATTCATCAGGATTATTGATATTTACATTTTAAATATGAAACAAAGAATGGAATGGGTTGATGAGTTAATGTGAGAGGGAAATGCAATGTATCAATCACATAATGGCGCCGTTTCAGACCAAACATCATAACGTTTTCACATGTCGCATGTGACATTGTCTTCTCCACATGCCATTCTTTCGCTCCCCGCCAAAAACCATTTTCATTTTTCTTCATTACGTTTTCAATAATTCCACATTTTGTTATAACAATGACAAAAAATATTCCACCTATCTATTAAACTACAGTAGTATTAGTTAGTGTAGTGCTATATGTTTATCTACAGAAACTTCTTCAACAGCATTATGTAAATCATTGGTACTAGGCTTTGCTTATTAAATTATTTGTGGGTTTAATGCATGTTACGAATGTAATACTATACTATATTCACTTCCCAAATGATTGGATAATCCAATTTGGATTCCTATTTAGAGAACCAAATGCGCTGTTGTTTGAACAACGGTCGCAACTCCATAACATTGTCCATTATCATTGCTAACTAACTTGCTTTTTACTTGTGTACGTATCCTCATTTACATACACAAATTTATTAGTTACCACTACCTAAAAACTTAATATGTAGATAAAACACATATTTTTAGAGTAGAAATAGATAAGATAACCAGGAGCTCTATAGTTTTTAGGCATAAACAAGAAGAAAACTAGAAATAATAAATCTTTTGGTGTTAATTTGGGTTTTGAAACCCAATCAAAAAGAAACATTCTCTAGTACTTTTATCTTGACAATTTGAGTATACTCATTTATTGATTTTAAAATAAGAAAGAGATGCATTGAATCTCATATAGAAGACAGTTTGGGGTCTATGTGTCCAGTAAAACAAATACTGTCTAGTGTAGCTACAAACTCTTTGGAAGCTTTTAAAAAAAAATCTGGTGTCCTGAATCTTGAACTTGAACCGTGGGATCATTCAAAACTTTAGGCCACCATAGATCTTGCAAAAGAATTGGAAGTTTTATGTAAATTTTAAAATACATCTGATAATGTAAAATTTTTCTAACATTTTTTTTGTTAGGGAGGAATCAATATAAATTCATACTGTATTTGATTAAAAAAAAAAAAAAAAGGAAAACAATTTTTTTGTGAAAATGCATCATTTACACGTGTCAAAATACGGTTTGGTTTGTTTAAAACATAGTTCCAAGCTAAAATTATTAAAATGCCAATTCAAACTAGTCCAAATTATAAATTATTCTTTATATATAAAAAAAAGAAACTTGGCTCTATATATATGGAGATAGGAATTGTGATACTCTTGTCCTACACTAAATTCTCTGAGCTCTTTGCACCAAAAAGAGAATGGTGTGCAGAGCAGAAGAAGCAATGAAGCAAAGAGAGATGATCAAGAGATGCAAAGAAGATGATCGTTATCAGAAGAAGAAGATACAATCAATCACTAATTGCAACAAAGAAAAAGGTTGCAGATTCAAGCGAAGCACTAGTAAGCTCGACAACGATGGAGCTTCCTCAGCCATCTTCCTCCTAGCTTGCATCGCCTGCTCATCCTTCTCTTATCATCTCTAACTATCAACATATCTTTGTTGTAACAGCATCCACGGTTAATTACTATTTAATTACGTTTAAATTACTCTTATTTTTGTTAATTCTATTTATACTTTGTTCAATATGAGGTTTTTAATCTGCACATTTGCGTAGACAATCTCTTGTTACTTTATCTTGTTTTATAGTTTTTTTTGTTAATGTTTTTAATCTTTTTTTTTTTTGTGTTATAGTTTATTGTATTCTAGTTACGGGAATTATAATGAGGATGCGAATAAAGATTACTTCGTTTGTATATATGATAATAAAAATAATTTCTAGTTCTATATTGAACTTTGATTGATATATAAGTATCTTACAAATTTTTATAAATTGATATATCCAAAAATGTAAAAAAGAGAAATAAAAAATTAAATATTAGTTTGTACTAGTGTTAAAAAAAAATGTGATGAGTTAAGGTAGTAGGAATCTAATGTCTAGCACCCAAAAGGCCAAAACTTCTTTCAGAGCCTAAAAGATGTTATTAAAGTATTTATAATATGTTTACAAAAAAAAATAAAGTATTTATAATATAAAACAATATATATATATATATATATAATAAATATAACTAGAAAATAAATTTCAAATTCTATTTTTTTCAAAATACAAATTACATTGAAATAAAATATAGTAGAAATATTAAACTTAAAATAATGTTTGTGCAGTGAACCGTTATTTGCGTGTTTTTTTTTTCTTTCCAAGAGATCCGAGACAATTGTTTTGAGGGTGAATTAGGTGAATAACCTATTTTGATAAGTTATTTAAGCATATAGCACTATATTGTTAGAAATAAAGCAAGTAACACAATGAAGGGTAAAATGTCTATTTTGGCCTTTATTTGTGTTTGTCGAAGAGAGGAAGAAAAGTTACATGGCATATGTGAGAATTTATCTGTTTTTTATTTTTTTTTATTTTACCCCTTAGATCTTTTATTACATATTTTATGCTCTAAATATTTAATTCAAATTTCTAATTCTTTGAAAATAATAAAAAAAAGCTTTTTTCATGTATCATGATTTAAAATTTTAAAAAACAGACATAAACTTATAAAAATTAAAAAAAAAAAAAAAATTCTTTACATAAAACTTAAACAAAATAGTATAGAACAAACTACAATAGTGTAGAACGCGGCTGCGATGATGATATCGGCAATAAATAGTATAGGCGTGGAGGTTTTAGTGGTGGCGACGTGATGATAGTGGTGGTTACGACGTTGGCTTTAATGGCGTTGTGATGGTGGTGATGGCACGGTTGCGACGGCGCGGTAGTAACTATGGGTGGTAATATGGTGATGGTGAATGTGTGATAGTGGTGATGGTGGTTACCATGATGACGATTATTGCGATAACCGTGGTGGTGATGACATGGGGATGGTGGTAGTAGTTGTAATGGTGATGGTGAGGGCATGATGATGGTGATTGTGTTGGTCGTAGCAGTTACGGCGGTGGTGGTGTTGATGATGTGATGGTGGTGGTGGTGATGATAATGATGTACTACTAATGATAGATAATGGTTACACTTGATATGACAAAAGAAAAAAGAAATTGATGATCAAGAGAGAAAGAAGAAAAAGACAAAAATACGTAGAAAAAATGTGACATGTGAACAAAGGGTAAATTAGTATATATTACATGTTATACATAGAATATTGTAGTCAACCTTTTTTTAGGTTAGTTACTGAATTATTAAATTTTTTTATGGTCATATAGTCTAATTTCTCTTGTTTTGATCTTATCATTTCCTATCTATCACATGCGAGCAGTGATATATTACTTCCAATTCAAAATCCTCATGTATATGGATTTAAATAATTTTGTTAGGATATAGTCATATTGAGAGTCAAGTCCTCTCAAAGGTAGGTACCCCTAATACTCCTAAGAGTTGGAGGAGTACTTACTTGACCCAAATCAAAATCAAGGACCGAATAGGTTGTTAGAAGCATATGATCACTGAACCTTAGAGACCATTTACGACCAGTAATGGGATCAACACTTCTAATCAGTAAAGGCTCAAGTGGTACGTAGGCTTTACCCATTGAGTTACCCGATGCCAATGTGGGATCAAAACCAAATACTCATAGAACCGGCCCATCAAACCAATGACGCTAATATGCCACTAAAAGATTGGCTTAAGCCCAATATTTGTGGTCTAGTAGTAGAGAAAGCTTTGGGAATGGGTGAAACTCCCAATTATTTTTTTTGGTATGGTATAAATAAAAGGCCTATTTTTTGTGTTTTGCCTAAAGTTGTCAAAAAGTATGAGATGAGACTGGTTAGAAACCCTTGGGAGGAGGATGATTTACACCCTAAAAGAGTGTTCTTAATGGTTCTCGTTTTAAAGTGCATGCGGGTTCAAAAGATACCAAAACATTTCTTAACAAACCGTTCTATGAGAAGAAAAAAAAAAAAAAAAAAAAAAAAACCATTCTATGAAGCAAGTAAAACACTTGCTTTGAAAAATATATATATATATATATACGGCTAAACTTCAACGTACGGCCACACTTGAGAAATGTAAGTTTGTGTTAGTGGTCTCTTGTTCGATGCCTTCCCTAGCTACACGTTCCTCTCTTCTTTTGGCAATTATTTACATTCTTAAATTTCTCTTCCGGACTTAATTTCTTTGGGCAATAACATAAACCATCCTTATATAGAAAACTAAAATTGTAAATTTGTAACAATCCTCCACAACGAAAAAAAAAAGAAGACAACCTTGACAAAGTAAAATTAGAAACCATGGACGCCGTTACCCGGAAGAACACCATTGCCGCCGTCTCTAATCTCCACAAACAACACCGCCACTGCCGTCTCAAATCTCCACAACTGCCGCTGTCGTCGGCATACGATACTTCTTTGATATAGAATGCCACATGTATATTTATAAGTGTTTTAGTTTTAGACCACCAAAAAGCTAACGACCCGCCCGGAATGTCGTCCTCTTGGTTTTAAAGAACCTCTTTCTGAGTGAGACTAATTCAGCTAAAGCCTCAGCCATCGTCATCCGATTTATCGGAGATTCTTCACAACACCTTATTCCCACATGAAACACCATCTTCAAACACTCAGCAATGTTGATGTTGTTGTTTCTAACTTCACCGTGGAGAATCAACATGTCCGCCATATCAAGTACATGTTCGGGCAGCCCCGAATCGACATAGCTACGGAGAGTTAAATCTCCGACAAACTGTTGATCAGTTGGACGCTTTCCTGTGAACATCTCCAACATAAGAACTCCGAAGCTGTACACATCTCCCTGTCTGGATGGTTTTCCTCCCATTCCATATTCTGTACAATGATCAAAAGAAATGATAAAGATATTAAAAATTGGAGAAAACATAATTTCATAACTACAGTACTTTTACCTGGTGCTGCATAGCCGATGGTTCCTCTGACACCCGTGGAGCTCAATTGGTTGATGAAGGATTCCTGGTCGAGGATTCGAGCAAGACCAAAGTCGCTTACATGGGCTGTTAGATCATTGTCTAGAAGAACATTGCTTGGCTTTAGATCACAATGAGCTACAGGGTCATGGCAGTGGGAATGGATATAATCCAAAACTGAAGCCACATGTATGGCTATGTTAAGTCTTTCACATAGCTTCAGTGGTCTTGGATGATTTTCAGAGCTTCCGACTTCCTCTGGGTGCAGCCATGTGTCTAAGTTTCCATTCGGCATAAACTCGTACACAAGAGCTTTGAATTCATTTCCTTTGAAATCAATGCTTGAACAAGCTGTCACTAGTTTCACAAGGTTTCGGTGCCTTATACTTTTCAAGGCTTCACATTCCGCCATAAAGCTCTTGGCTGCCCCATGCTTTTGGAGATTCAGGACTTTAACTGCAGCAACTTTGGACTCGGGACCAAGCAATCCTTTAAAAACAGAGCTAAAGTTTCCTGAACCAATCAAATTGCTTGACGAGAACTCGCAAGTCGCACTTCTAAGCTCCTCATAACTTATCCTCTCATAGAACGGAGACTTTGATAGCAAGTTATCGGCGGTTTTTGCACCGTCTTTCTTCTTCCTTTTCATAAGCATGTATAGTAGACTCAGAGCAAACACTGACAACAAAAGAGAAGCTACACCGATACTAACACCGATGATTATTTTCTTTTTGTTTGATGAATGCCTTCTTGCCTTTGAAACTACGTTTTGAGGGCATGGCCTTAACTTTAGTTCAGGGATGCCTCCACAAAGCTTTCCATTACCAGATACTGAAAACTTTTCAGGAGTTTGAAACACTCCTTTTGTTGGAACTATTCCTTCCAAGTTGTTAACTGAGAGATTCAAATACTCTAACGAGAGAAAATTGCCCAGATATTCAGGTATACTGCCCGACAAATTGTTGTTCGATAAACTAAAGATTCGGAGGGCTCTCAAGTTTCTGATATCTGGAATGGCTCCATCAAATCCATTTCCTCCAAGGTAAATTTCTTCCATGGAGAGACAGTTCCCTAATGTCTCAGGAATGTTTCCATGAAATCTATTGTTTCCAGCAGATAGCACAACAAGGAGTTTTAATCTTCCAACATCTTTGGGAAAAGGCCCAGTCAACAAATTTTTTGATATATAAAACCCAACAAGAGACTCCATTTGCATGATTTCTTGAGGTATACTCCCGTTTAACTTATTAGATCCAATACGAAGGAACAAAAGAAACCGGCATTTTCCAAGACTCGGAGGAATGCTTCCTTCAAAACTATTGTTAAACAAATTGAGACTTTCTAACCGAGTGATGTTTCCGAGATTTGATGGTATCTCTCCTGACATTCTATTTGAATTCAGGCCTAGTTCTTTCAACCCTATAATCTTCCCAAGAGAGGTTGGTATTCTTCCTGTCAACAAATTTGTTTCCATGCCTAGTGATTGTAGGTTTATGAGATTCCCAATGGCATGAGGAATGCCACCAGAGATGAGATTCCCTCCCATGTACATTGCGGCCAACTCGATAGAAAGATTGGCTACAAAGATAGGGAGTTTTCCTCCAAGTCTATTGTAACCAAAATCTAAGACTTGTAGCTTAGAGCAATTTACCAAAGCACTAAGAAAGTCAAGATCTCCAACTAAGTTGTTTCCAAAAGAATTCTCATTAAGCCCCAACATTTTAATATTGTGTAATGCTCCAAAACCAAAGGGGATAGATCCAGTGAAAAGGTTCTGTGAAATCTCTAGATGTGTAAGGGTTGAGATATTGGAAATTGTTTTGGGAAGATCTCCTGAGAAAGAATTCATCCCCAAATACAACTCTTTAAGAGTTGTAAGCATATTTCCAAAATCAGGCCTAAGATTACCCGAGAAATGATTGCCAACAATGGATAAAATCCTAAGTGAGGACAGGTTGTAGATTGCAGGAGGGAAAACACCTGAGAGATTGTTTTGTGAAAGTTGGACACTTATCATATGGGACAATCTACCTATGTTATCTGGAACTTCTCCCTCCATATGATTATATGCAATGGCAAATTGACTGAGAGATGTTAGGTTTCCTAAAGATGTGGGAAACTTCCCTGAAAGGTTGTTTTTAGATAGAAGCAATTTTTCAAGGCTAGATAATGACGATCCTAGCTCTGAAGGTAAACCGTGTATAAGACGGTTTGACATTAAATCAAGGGTCACCAATCTAGAGCAGTTAGACAGGCTTGGAATTTCTCCTTCAAGACTATTATAACTCATGTTCAACTGTTGAAGCCTAAACAACATTCCCAACTCTTTTGGGATGGTACCACTAAAAGAGTTATCTCCAAGATTAAGAACTCTGAGAAAAGAAAGATTACCGAGGGAGGGCAAGATGATCCCACCAAGTTGCAACCCTCCAAGGTCCAAACTAGTAACTCTTTTGTGTTTGCGGCCACATGTAACATGAGCCCACTCGCAGAGTGGAATAGAGTGATTCCACGAGGCCAAGACTACTCGTTTGTTTTCAGAAACTTGAGACTTCAACGCAAGTAACACTTGTCTATCACCATCAACCATGGACGCTTCATCAGCAAAACCGAAGTCCAAATCTTTAAGTAAGATGAGAATATTGAAAACAAGTAAGAGAAACAACCTCATGATGATCAAACAAGGTTCTTTAGATAAGTGATGCCTTCTCACTCTCGAGGGTTTTTAAAGAGATGACCATAGGAAAATTATTTGCCAAGCCTGATTGGCCCACACTGCTTCTTTTCAGCATTAAACCATTCGAATTTTCTTATTTGATGTTGACCCAACAAATTTTAAAACTTTTATTGATATCAAGGAGACGAAAAGCTATGAGACTTGTTCAAAGTCTTGTGTGATTAGGAAGTCGTCTTTTGCTAGTTTAGTCATTGCATTTTTATTAACTAATGAGCAATAACGTCTAACGCAATCTTTAGTTTTATTATGGATACCATAACATACACGTCATGAATTGTCTGCAAGACACGTCAAACCCTACAAACTGATACATCATACATTATATGGTTGTGAATGCAGCGTTGCTGAAGGGCGGGACAAGACGGTCCAGCAAAAATGTTTCCATTTCACATCACGTAATTAACTGGAAGAGATGGGAAATATTCATTATAAATAAATTAAAAATATTAAAATTTGGCCTAAAGTTTTCTACCTATAAGAGGTTTAAATTATAACATAAAAAAAATATTTTGTCAAATTTAGCCAGATTTAGCAATTCTACTATCACAATTTGCGTAAAAATAAATTCAGCCAATTCAACTTAATTCAGTAAGATCTAGTAGTTTTTTCAACATCAACTAACCCATATGTATGTACATTTTTGGTAAAACTTGGTATAATAACGAGTACACAACTCAAATTGAAATATTTTAGATATCGAAAATGAAACCTCAAAGTTATGTTTAAAAAATAATGTTCGATTTTTCAAACCCAATTTAACTCCCGCTATTAATAAGATATTGTCCGTTTTGGGTCGAAAGGCAAAGCCCGCGCGGATTTGTTTATAGGTTTCTTATAAGAAGACACCATACTAATTGAAGTTGGACTTAGACATGTCAATTAAGGCCAAAGCCTGCGGGCTGGCCCGAGCCAGCCTTGAAAAACAGCAGGTTCAAGCTTAACTACATATGTCCAGAAAAAATTCGGATCTTTCGGATTAAAGGGTTTTTGGAGCTTATTACGACCAGGCTCTGACCGGTCCAAAAAAACTCTTAAAAATATATTGACTTTCTCTTTGTTCATATTTTAGTTTAATTGAGACATTAGTTGAAAGATTTTTTTTAAATAGAGGTGAAAACTATAAACTTAGTTTTCTAATTGTTATACGCACTTGGTTGGATGGATTTACGTTTGATGATCCGGTAATAATGTCATTCTTCTTTACTTAATATTTTTAGAATCTTTATTTATGATATTTTATACTATGATAAAATTCAAAAATCTTTAAAATTTGATTTTTATACATAGATTTTATGATCAGAAAGATTTAGAAGGCATTGAACTGAGGAAAATTAAGAGAATATTGAAGCAGATTCAAATTTTAGCTCTACTACCTAGTTTGAAGTCTTCTAATTTTATAATTATTTAGTATGAGTTTAAACAGGAGAATTTGGTCAATTCTACCACATTTGACCAAACGCTTTCCACTTCTACCACATTTGATAATCATTTTTCACTCATACCACATTTATGTGGTATTGTGGTATAAAAAGACGGTTTTGCCCTCATGTAACGTGGCAGATAAAGTGCAACATTTAGAGACAAGTATCTGAGGGACAAAACAAGTATCTAGGAGACAATAAACATATTCGGAGACAATAATCAAACGAAATATAAACATCAAACAAAATGAAAATACCGCAATTAGAATTTAGGAGAACTAAAATCGAAGAACAATGAATTATAATCGAGGGACAAAAACCAGCTAACATGCAAAAATAAGATGAAATTGTGGAAGGCTCAAATTTCGGGGACAACTGTATGTAAACTTCTTTTTGTGTACTCAAACAATAATTTTATCCCCAAAATTTGAGCACAAAAAGAAGGGCAAAATGGTCATTACACACAGCAATTATGGTATGAGTGATAAATGGGCCAATGTGGTAGAAGGAAAAGAATTGGGCCAAATGTGACATAAATGTTAATTTTCTCTTTAAACACTGTATTTAGATGATTTATTTGGTTTTAAACTTTTTCTTTTAAATTAAATTAGCTTTAACGAATACTAGTTATTTAAACTTCGATTGAGTCGTTTCATACTTAGATTTTTCAAGGGATATTATAAATTTTAAGTTTATTTTTTCTATCAAAAGAAAAGCTCGAAAGAGCTCGGACAGCTCTCTTAGGGTCGGACCATGCTTGAAAATATAGGTTCAGAATTTTTACGAACCGGGCCGAGCCGGTCTCAAATATATGCAGGTTTTGCAGAATTTGGGATGGACCGGGTTAGCTCGATTGACATGCCTAGTTGGACTTGACTTATATATTAGACTATTCTTTTCTAATATTCTAATGTGAGACGGTTTGTCTCCCAACCAATAATTCAGACACATAAATGGACAAAAGTCAAATTCATTTTCAGATATTTCAGATAACTATGAATAATTTTGGATAATTTCAATAACTTTTAGATAATGTAAAATGAATTTTTTAAAAAACTTCGCAAAAACAACTCATAAGTATTCTTACTCATCCTCATTATATTATTGATTAAATAACTAGAGGTCAATAAAGAAAAAGAAAGCAATTAGTTAAGCTTCTATTAAATTATCATGTTACTTTTTGAAATTAATTAATTTTTAAATAATGGTTTGACAAAGCTTTTTATTAATTATTTACATATTTTTCTGCAAAAAAAAAACCCTTAAATTCGCCAAATTTTGCAATTTTACCCTTCACTTCAAAAAAAATAAAGATTAATCATACGAAATCAAAATTAATACGCAATATAACTTTTCTACGTATATTGTAAAAGTGGAGTTGAACTCCTCGTCGCGAGGGCTTCGATTTGACATATTATTTATCAAAACTTTACAAACTTGACGGTAGCAAAAAATGTTACATTGCATATTATTTTGACTTCATATAATTAATATGTATTTTTTGGATGTGGAGGGTAAAGTTGTAAAAAATAGTGAGTTGGAGGGTTCTTTTTGCACAAAATTGTTCAAAAATTAAAATATGGAAGAATAACCCAATTTTGTTAACCAATAAATTATTTATATTACTATTAATTTTAGATAATTTTAGTATTTGTTTCTTAGTGTAAGAGTTAATTAGTCCGTTACATAATTTATCAATTTTATTTATATATATTTTTGTTATTCTATTAATATTCATAATTATTTGATGATTTAGCTAGAGTTAGCTGTTACCATTTAGAGAAATATAAAAATTTAGATAGATTCAACCGAAAATCACTAAAAATTCAATTAGATTCACCAATTCATCCAGATTCATCGATTACCATTTACATTGAAGGTGCGGTTCAACAACATCCAATAATTCTTGGAGTTTTCTAAAACCCTCACTTCCACAAGATCTTCTTTTTATATTTTGAATAAAATCTCGTGCTCTATTATTAACTTGACCCAAACCTCTATTCCATCGCAAAATTACACTGCACCACGATACATGCAGGTCAACTTGAACCATGCTTTAACTCTGGTGCAGCTATGTCTCTGTACTAACAAATTCGTCCCACTGATTGATGCAACATGAGTCTTTCCTGCCTCAACGGCTATTTGTATTCTCCTCTGTTACATTAGGTTTACTCAACTGATACTCTGCTTTCTGGAAGACTTATCATGATCTGGTTGAGCTCTCACTTTTTGGAACTTCTCAATAAAACTTCAAAGTTCAACACGTCACTTCATTCTATGTAACTTCTTTGGATGAGGAATCTCTGCATATGTGTATGTACATGTATTTGCTTGTTCTCAACGTCTTGTGTGTTACACATCGCATGTGACTATCCATATTGTATCTAAACCAGTCTTGTTCACATCTTTATGATTATATTCTCTTGAGTCTACTAACCGGTAACAACTTCGATATATCTTCACATTTGTTTTACACTGCCCAATCCGCTGTTACCAAATGAAAATAAAAAAAATTGGATGCAGATTTTGCGGATGAAAGCGTTTATTTGATGGTATATTCTTTATATGATTTAACCCTCATTATATTATAAATAATATCTAAATTCATTCAATTCATATCAAACATATGAATATTTTTAACCATATAGATGAAGTCAAAACTTATAAATTTAAATTCATGTAGTTAAAAATAAAATTATATGAGAGAGACAAAAAATATATAAAAAATAAATGAGAACTGATTTATGTTTTTTCAGACAGTTTAGAACCCGCTTGGAACCACTTAAAGCCGTTTATAACTGCCTAAACATATTAGCTACATTTAATTCACATTCCAATGCGTATAAATAATCTCTAGAGCCGTCAAAAAAAAAAAAATCTCTACAATGTATAGGCGTATATAACATCTAGGCGGCCGCCTATACATTTTAGAACACAGGAAAAGAATGATCAATTTTTTTTATTTTTTATTTTTTATTTTTTTAAAAAGGGGAAAAGAATGATCAAATATTTTAAAACATTGCAAATGCAAACTAATGCTTATCATGCATATAGAGATGGGTGACATCACTTGGTCGGTTATTATTTGGTTCAAAATTTCGCAAAAATTTACCCTAATTTAACTGTAATTAGTTTTGAACCTACTTTTAGCAATTTTTTAGCGATTTGTTTTGAACCTACTTTTAGCAATTCTTTTCGTTTCTAACCTTGAATTCTAACGAACAAAATTCTTTCATGCACAACGTGTTGTCAACGGTGTGATGATTTGAAGTTTTTTCTATAAAAAGCATTTGTCCCGGTGAAAAAGATACAGTAAGTTGTTCTTTTAAGATTCTTACGGGACATCGACGGGGCGACATGTTTTGTTAAGGGTGGGACATGCCAATCATGTCACTTCGCGGGTGATTGTCACAAGACTTTAAAGACTTTAAATCTATTCTAAAGTCTTCACAGTATTTTTTTTTGCTAATTAGACTTTTTTTACTTTAATTTTTAAAAAAGTTCTCAAAGCTTTTTTTTTTTCTTTCTTTTTTTCCCTTCTTTTT